CCCCAAAACCCCAAAACCCCAAAACCCCAAAACCCCAAGGAAAATCATTTACTAATAGTGTGAATAAGTGTTAAATTTAGAATATATTACAAACTTTAAGGAGTTAATAACTTTATTTAATCAGAAAATGTAAATTTCCGTAAGAAAGTTGTCGTAAATTGTTGTCTTCATCGACTTTATGCTAATTTAAATATCATTCTCAATCAAGTACAAAGCCTCTATAGGCAAAGAAATAGTCGATGAAATAAAAAGCTCATAAGATTTGTGGACACCTATGAATCCAGTAGATAATCCGCTTAAATAGAGTGACTACACTGGGTTATTTGGATTATAAAGTAGAGCACCAAGTTTATTTTTCAACAATTATTATAAACCTCCATCAGGAGGAGTTGAACCAATTCCTAAAAATTATGATGCAAGGAAAATTTATAAACAGTGTCAACATCCAGTAGTAAATCAATTCAAATGTGCAGCTTGCTGGGCTTTTTCCATCTCAACAGTTGTTAGTGAAAGATTTTGCATTGAGACTAAAGACCCACCTCCAAACGCAACTTACAACTTTACATCAGTTGTGTTATCTAAACAACACATGATATCATGTGTCTATCCAAAGTAATTCGGATGTGTTAGTGGTGTCATAGATACCGCTTTTCAATTCATGGAAAAATAAGGAATAGTTTCAGAGGACTGCTTTCCATACTCTTCATAACTCGGACCAAATTAAACCATAGAAACTTGCAAAAACAAATGCATAAATTTAAATGACCCATTTACTCGTTACAGGTGTAAGCCAGGTACCTCTAAAGTAGCGAAAGGAGATGATGATATCAGAAGTATGCTTTTGAAAAAAGGTTCAGTGTTCATAACATTCGATGTCTACTAGGATTTCTTAAACTATGGCAAAGGCTATTTCAAGCACACTACTGGGGATTTGCTTGGTTATCACGCTGTTAAGCTAGTTGGATGGGGTTATGACTGGTTTAGAGATATTACATATTATATATGCTAAAATTCATGGGGAACTGAATGGGGATAAAGAGGATTCTTCAATATTGTTGTTGGAGATAGCAATAGTTCTTAATATGGATACACATGTGATCCTTTGATTTGATATTAGAGTGAAATTCCTTCACACTATTCAACTATTTTAACTTTAAACTCATAATGTCACATAAAAATTTGATTAACAACTTACTTTCTCTTTAATATTCTTCTTAACTATATAATTTCCTATATTAGTAAAATTCTTCACTCATGGGGTTTTGGGGTTTTGGGGTTTTGGGGAGATCGGAAGAGCA